TTCAACAGGTATGAAATGTTCTGCTTCCAGAACCTGATGAAGCCTACCACACGTTGGAATTCAATCTTTGTAGGGAAGGTGAAAAATGCAATAATTTGTCCTTTACTTTGGAGGGAATCTCCTGGCATGCCCCAAACCATTCAACCCATAAAAACTACACTTCATGTAGCCAGCCCCTGGATCTTTGTAGGTTTTATCTCCCATCTTCTGGTGTACGTGTGTCTTACCAAGGCCTCCAATCTGCTAGCCACTTCTTACTCCTTTTGGTCCAATTAGCACGATGTCATCAACATGGTGAACTAGTATTATATTCAGATGGTCCAGATCTCTTCAGACTATATTATGACAGAGGACAGGAGAGTTAGTAGGGCCTTGAGGAAAAACTATAAATGTATACTGTTGCCAATTCTATGTGAATGTGAACTTTTTCTGATGTTCCATTCTTATAGGGGTAGAAAAAAAACACATTTTCCAAATCAATAGCTGATTACTAGGTACCTAAGGCCATGTCATTCTGCTCTAGCAAAGATAGTGTATCTGACGTGGCAGCTGCACTTGTGTCACTACTTGGTTGGGTTGGCACTAGTCTACTGTCATCTACCAGGCTCTGCCCACGTTTTGCAGGGGCCCAAACTGGTGCATTAAATGAAGATATGATTGTGACCACACTCCAGCATTCTTTAGGTCTTTAAAGGTGGCACTAACTTCTGCCATCCTCCCTGGGATGCTATATGTTTTCATGTGCTATCTTGGCCGAGGAGATGGAAGGCAGTTTCAAAAGCTTGTAGAAGGTCTTCTCATCTATAAATAGCTCTGACCCCACAGGCCAAGGAACCAGTGTGGGGCTTGCACCAACTATCAAAATATCTATTCCAATTATACATTCCTAGACCGGGAAAATAACTAACAGGTGAGTCTGTGGACCCACAGAACCACAGTGAACTAGGCCAGGAGCCCATTTAATACCAGGCTCCCATCTGCCCCTATTCTAATAAGAGGACTGTAATGACACTTTAGGTCTCCAGGTATCAATATCAACTCGGAACCAGTAGCCATCAGTCCTCAAAATGTCTGGATATTCCTCTTTCTCCAGTGCACAGTCACCTGAGTAAATGGAAAAAGAGGAGGATCATTACTATGTATGTGTTGTAGGGTCCTTCTTCCCGAGCACCCAGCCTCTCCTTCAAACAGTGCATTCTAGATCAAAAACTGACTTAGGACCAGAAGCTGGGTGGGGGATTTTGACTTTTTATTGAGGCAACTTCCCTCAGACTCCTGATCATCTTTGATTTACTTTGACTGTACAGGTTGTTGGCTGCCTATTTTCCCCAAGGCGCTGTGTTATATTAACCACCTGTATTCTCTCAGCTACCTCTTAACCATCTATTCACCAGGGGCACTGTATTCTATTAATCATCTCCACAGCTCTCTGCAGGTCAGGCCTCCCCGCCTGCCACTCTGAGCCTGCAGTGCATTATGGTATTTGCATCCACCTGACTTCTGACAGTTGAATGCAGTCATCCTGCCTCTATTGTTTCAGGGCCACCACCATTTCTATCAGTGATCCTCGTCCTGTAACATCCTCTCCTACTCTGAGCCCTCGCCTGAAGAGCAAGCCACCAGTGAAATTCTTAGTGAGGCTGGTGCCCCTCTCACCAGTGCATTCCTTACACCTTTGGCAAATGGTGTAGTAGTAAGTTCATATGATCTCCTGTGGTTTCCCAGGGTGTTAAATCCTGTATCTTGGGAGAGAACTCTCACATCAATTAATTCTCTCTTATCCAATTCTATAATCCAGCTCCCTGGATGAAGGCCCTCAGAACTCAGCCCCATGCTTACTCCCTCAGCACCTGCTAGTACGTGCTGGCTAGGACCTGCGACTCCTTCTTGGGGTAATCCCTTTCCTTCCTTATTAGGCCCAGCACATCCCCAGTGAGGTTACACTGTGACTTAACCCTAGATAAAGGCCCAGTGGCCAGGAGGGGAGGTGGAGGCAGATTCTGAAGGAAACATACATCATCTTACAAGGGAAAGACCTCTGTGTGTTCAAGCAAAATGAAGCTCTAGCCCTTAATAGGAAGGAGTGAGACACTTCTGAATGCTCAAGGGGTTCAGGGAAATCTCAGGATACAAGATTTTTAGGGACATCAATTCAGATGTTCCCATACCATGTGTCAGGATCCCCATTCCTTCCTAACTAGGACCCTCATCTTGGCATAGCAGATTTGACTTGGTTGGGATTTTAACATTTATTGAAGCCTGCTTTCAATAAGTCTTCAGCCTGATCTTCAGATTTTTCTATCCTCTACCTGGAAAAGATGAGGACCTCTTTATATGCTATGAATAAAGCCCTCTGGCTTTCACACATAGCTTTTAATTAATTGTTGATTAATATAATTCAGTTTTTCATTATTTTTTTTCTGAAGATCAATCAAGCTCAGCCATAGCCACCCAATTTTCCAGGCTTCTTTATATTTAATATCTCCCATATATTTCTCAAAGCTGCTACCGGGTACCAGTGAATGCATTCCCTTCCACCAGTGCCATCCCAGTTCACCAACAGTGAAAGCCCTAACAATTCCTCTGCCACCTGTTCTAGCTGCCTGTCTACTTCACCTACCACCAATGATGGGGTCCTCATTGCCAGCTGGGCAGCAGGTGATCCATCTCCAAAATGTCATCACAGTGTATGCTCTCCTGAACCACTTCTTGTACCAACTGTTGTAGGTTGGCTTCCTGGAGAGCAGACTCAGAGACAGAGTTCAGCATGAAGGGCTTTGATTAGGGAATGATCTTGGGATCAACACCTGTGGAAGGGAAAAGAACGAAGAAGGATTGGACAGAGGGAAAAGTTAAGCTCTCCCATTTGGGGCAAGAAAGCCATGTCGATCAGTCATTGGATGGGAAGTACCCCAAGAAGGGGGTATGACCTTGGGGGAGCTCTCTTAGCAACTGAAATAATAATATCTTTATTCCTGAAGGGAGATTATGGCAGCAGATTGCAGAATCCATCACAAGTTTGACATTTTTTCCACTGGAAAGTTGGTGGCCATTGAATGCTAGAATTGAGAACAGCTTTACTTTTAAAATAGTTAATAAGATTTAAATTTTCAAACATTTACAGCTTTATTTAGCATTTTCATTTATACTTTCCAAATATTTACACATAAATATGTGAGCCTCCATTTACACTTTTTCTCTAGTCCCCTGAAATGCTATTGACAGGCCTGCTTAGCCTGAATCCATCCATTTCCTTTTGGTAAATTATGCAAAAAAAAAATCCTGGTTTATTATATAAAAACCAGAAAATAGAGATAAGTAAAACATAGATAAAATCACCTATTAATCTAACACCCATAGGAAACTATTAACATTCTCAGTGTATACACCAAAGTGTATACATAGAAATAATTTAAATATATACTTTTTCCTCACAAAAAGTATAGCATGTGCTTTGGCAGCCTATTTTCCTCACTTAAAATTATATGCAGGGCCGGCCCCATGGCCAAGTGGTTAAGTTCACACGCTCCGCTTCGGAAGCCCAGGGTTTCGTGGGTTCAGATCCTGGGTGCGGACCTGGCACCGCTCATCAAGCCATGCTGAGGCGGCATCCCACATGCCACAACTAGAACGACCCACAACTAAAATATACAAGTATGTACTGAGGCGCTTTGGGGAGAAAAAGGAAAAGTAAGATCTTTAAAAAAAAGATTATATGCAGAATTTTTTCCAAGTAAATAGGTGTAGATACCCATAAACATTTTTAAGAGCTGCACAATGTGTCGATGTGCAGACATACCTTACTTTGCTTAGCCAAGTGCCTATTCTGAGACGCTTAGGTCATTCACGATTTTTCAGTCTTCAAAACAGTGAAAAGATGCACAGCCTTGTATAAGCCAATTATTTGATTATTTCCTAAGGATCAATTTCTACAAGTGGAATTACTGAGTCGAACAGCATGCACATCTTGAAGGCTTTTGAAACGTGTGTCGAAGTGGACCTCGTCCTAGTGTAGGCTCCCACCAGCACAGTTTGAGAGTGCCCCTCCCCCCACACCCTCACCGCCCTCTGGGAGAGACATGGATCTTCTCCAGTAAGGTTACCAACAGCCCTCCTGATGGTTCCGTAAAAGTCCTGCCCCAACCAACCTTATGAAAGTAATCTGATAGAAGCACTAAAAATTATTCATTCTTCTAGTATATTTTATTATTTCAAAATAGTAACTAACGTATTCACTTACATGGACACCAGAGTTGGCCAAGAAAGAGGATGTTTTCCTATCAAATGCCCCCAGGACCCCAAAAGAAAATTGTCCCTCACTGTATGCCCCCAGAATAGGTTTCAGCACTTCTTCCTTCAAAGGGCCTCTCACCTCCTCCCTCCCCTTACCACTCCCATGGCCAGCACTCAAATTTCATGCCTTTATCATCTGGTAACTTCCTAACTGGTGTTCCACTCTCCAGTGGTCACTCCTGTCCCCACCCCAACTCCGACCCATCCTGCACACAAATCAACCACATCGTTTTCTTTTCATCCTGTCATTTCTCTGGTCACGAAAGCCTTTGGGGTCTCCCAGGGCTGGAGAATAATATGCAGACACCTCGGTTTAGCAATCAGGGGTCCTCCACGAATGGGACTCACTCCAACTGCCAGACTGTATTTCCCACCACTCCCCTCCCCACACTTTGTGCTCCAGGCAGGCCAGCCTCCTCTCTGGAGCAGGATTCCCACCTCCATGCCTTTCTTCCCACCACTCCTCCCTCCTCCAATGCCCTTTTGCCCGTTATTCCCCAGTCCTTCAAGCCCAGCTTGCTTAAGTGTCCCCGCCTCTGTAAAACTTTCCCTGAGCCCTGTTGCCCACGGAAGTTTCTGCCACCCCTAAGCACTAATAGGAAGCAGCTGGCCGTGATCAGAGGCTCCTGGTTTTGTTGATATCTTCTTGTTTCCATACATCTTGTCTTTTCAAATACATCATCAACTCAAGGACAAAGACATGTCTCTTTTTTTATGCTTAAAACACACAACTTTATTGATGGCATAAAAATAAAGTCTCAAATGTATAAACATAAGTCCACACAAAGGACCAAAGATTACCTTACTTATGAAGAATCTGTTCAGTTCCTGCTCATGAAGCATACTAAAAATATCTCAATCCAGACAAAGTAAAAATCAACACATGTATTTTCAGTACAAGTTTGAATTCATTTGGTGTTCATAAAATGGTCCAACTATAGACCATCATAAGTAACATGAGTTTTGAAGTTATAATGCAATTTACAATGTGCATTACTTCCAGGCTGCAAAACCAAAATATTACTCAAATTTTTTGGAAATACAAAACTAATCAGAGTTTACTTAATAATAGCTCAACTCTTTCTTTCACCTCAGGGTCATTGTATTCTGCCGCTAAGACTCGAAGTTTCTTGGCACATGCTTTAGGCCTTTGGAATACAAAATAAAGGGAATTTTTGCTGAACTTGTCCTGGGTAAATACTTTTGCTCTTCTTTTAAAATGGTAATTTATATTTTCAAATAGAGAAAGAGCATTAAGAATATTCTCTTTTGTCTCTTTCTTGCTAAAGATATTAATCAGTGATGTTGGTGCATTAGCAATTAGCAAATCTTTTGTCATAGATGGATTTTTAGAGAAATTCAAAAGCATTCCCAAAATATGGTCTTTAGTTTCTCCACTTCCCACAGTCAACAAACGAAGAAATTCTGAAATATAATTTGTAACCATATGCTGATACTCACTGATAATAGTCAGGTGCTTTATCAATCTTAGTCCTGCCAGCTGCACATTTGAATTCAAGGGATAAGTGACGGTGTCTTCACATACTTGATTTAAGTATGTTTTAACCTTCCTATGATTTTCAGCAGCCACTGAGATGTTATTCAGTGCATTTAAAGCCTTGTGCCTAACACTGGGGTAGGGATTATTGAGCAAGCTTTCAATAATTGAGATTTTGCCTGCATTACGAATGACTTCATGGGAAAATGGATAATCAGGACTGTTATAGAGAGCATTATTGGCTATTTCATGAATAGAAGGGTCTTCAGTCATCTCAATCATGCAAATGAGTTTTTCAAGCTCTCTTGGATCCATGTTAGCTTCGCGTTTACAGCGGCAGGCCCAGGGCTGAGTTTTCTCCCCAGACCTGATCTGCTTTCTGAGCTCATCTTCAGGTGGGAAGCAGGACTCATTTTGGTATGGAAATTTCATTTCCGTCCAGATCATGGCTCCTGCCCATGACCCCATTCCTGCCCCTGGGACCATGGATGGATATGTGCCTCTTGACTCAGCTGACTTTTTGGCTTTAGTGTTAGGTGTAGATTTGTCCTCACTTCTGTTTTCATTACCATCCCGGAACCAGGACCTTTCATCAACTCCACCAGCAGCCTCAAGCTTATCCTTGATGCCAGCCTTACGCTCAAAATTGATATCTTTCTCACTCTTGGATCTGGACTCATTACTGTTCTCACTCTCAGCCCAAAACAAAGACCTTAAACTGATCTCCTCAATATCAGGGCTGGATGCTCTACTTAGCTCATCCTCATCTACATCCTCAGCCAAAGTCCAGGACCCCATGCCAGCCCTTTCCCCAGCCCCAAGCCTAGAACCTGTAGTGGTTGCATTTCCATCCCAGAGCCAAGACTCTTTCCTGGCCTCAGCCCCAGCCACAGGCCCAGCCTCAGGCCCCACACAGGAATCCATACAGGCCATCTCTTCAGATCTGATCCAGGACCCAATATTGGTCTTGTCCTTAGCCCCAAATCTGCAACTAATGATGGCCTCCTCCCCAGCCCCTGATGTGGATTCAACACTGGCCTCATTTTTAGCTCCAGGCCTGGATACAATACCAACCTCTTCCCCTCTCCAGAACCAGGACCCTGTACTAGCCTCACCCTCAGCCCCAAACCAGGATCCTTCATTGGCCTCTGTACGAGCACTGATCTGGGACCTTCCACTGGCCTGGTCCCCAGCCCTAGCCCAGGATCCTCCACTTGCCTGGTCCTCAGGCCTCAGCCTAGACCCAGCCCAGGACTTTCCACCAATCTGATCCCCAGTGCCAGCCTGGGAGCCTCCTCCACCAGCCTGACTCTCAAACCCAGTTTTGGAACAGCTAACAGCCTGATCCCTAGCCCCAACCCAGGACCTTCCACTGGCCTGACTCCCAGTGCCAGCCCAGGACCCACCACTGGACAGATCTGTCAGCCCTGAACTAGACTCTCCAACAGCCTGATTTTCAGCACCAGACCAGAACCCTCCTCCACTGGCCTGATCTTCAAAGCCAGGTTTGAGACAGCTACCAGTCTGCTCCCCAGCCCCAGCCCAAGACCCTCCACTGACCTGACTCCCAGTGTCAGCCCAGGACCCACCACTGGACTGGTTCAAGGGCCCCAGACTAGACCCTCCAACGGCCTGGCCACCAGCCCCACCCCAGGACCCTCTTGCATTGGCCTGACTCCCACTGCAAGCACAGAACCATCCACTGGACTGATCCTCAGGCCCCAGCCTGGACCCTCCACTGGCCTGGTCTTTAGTACTAGCCCAGGAATCTCCAGTGGACTGGTCCCTGGGCCCCAGCCTAGACCCTCCACCAGCCTGGTCCCTACTGTCAGCCCAAGCCCTTCTTCCACTGGCCTGATCCTCAAATCTAGGCTTTGCCCCACCACCAGCCTGATCCCCAGGTCCAGTCCAGGACCCTCCATTGGCCTGGTCCATAGCCCCAACCAAGAACCCTCCACTGGCTTGGTCCTCAGAGTCAGACCAAGACCTTCCTGTGGACTGATCTTCAGGCCCCGACCTGAACACTCTACCAGCCTGGCCACCAGCCCCAGCCAAAGACCCTTCTTCAGTAATCTGATCCTCAAATCTGGGCTTGGACCCACCAGCAGACTGATCACCAGTCCCCGCCCAGGAGCCCCCACTGGCATGGCCCATTGCTCCAACCAAGAATCCTTCATTGGCCTGGTTTCCAGTGCCAGCCCAGGATCCAACACTGGACTGGTCCACAAACCCTGGCCTAGACCCTCGACTGGCCTGTTCCCCAGCTCTAGCCCAGGACACAGCACTGGACTGGTTCTCAGGCCCCAGCCTAGACCCTCCACTGGCCTGCCCACCAGCCCCAGCCCAGGACACATTTCCACTGGCCTGATCCTCAAATCTAGGCTTGGATCCCCCTCCAGACAGATCACCAGTCCCAATCCAGCTCCCTCCACTAGCCTGGTCCACAACTCCAGCCCAGTATCCAATATTAGCCACATTCCCAGCCCTAAGTTCAGCCCAGGATCCTCCATTAGCCTGAATTCCAGCCCCATCCTGGGACCTTCCACTGACCTGTTCCTCAGCCCCAGTCCAGGACGCTCCATTGACCTGGTTCTCAGTTTCAGTCCAGGACCCTCCAATGGCCTCTTCCCCAGCCCAGGATACTCCACTGGCCTGGCCCCCAGGCCAGGAACCCTCACTGGCCTGACCTCCAGCCCAGGGCTCCCCAGTAGCCTGGTTCCCAGTAGCAGCCCAAGACCCCCCACTGGCCTGGTTCTCAGCCCCAGTCCAGGACCCTCCAATGGCCTTGCCCCCAACCTCTGCCCAAGAACCCCCACTGGGCTTGCCCCCAGCCCAGGACTCTTCACTTGCCTTATTCCCAGCCCAGATACCCCCACTGGCCTGGTCCCCAGCTCCAGCCCAGAATCCAATACTAACCTCACTCTCAGCCCTAGCCCCAGGCCAGGACTTAATGCTGACCTCATCACAAGCCCCACCCCAGGACTCAATACTGGCTTCATTCTCATCATCAGCCCAGGACATGCTATTCTCCCAGTATCCATCCCTGGCCTGAAACCTAAATTTGATCCATCGCTCAGAAGCAATCCAATCCTCAATACCAATCCCACTCCAGTAATAGTCATGGACCCTAGACTGAGTCTTTCTGCAGGCCTGAGTGTCTGTCCCACCCTCACTTTCAGACGTGGACATGGCCTTAGCCTTGGGCTTTGCATAGGCTTCATCTTCTCCTGTGGCTTCTGCCTCAGACTTAGGTATAGCCTTGTCTGCTGTCCCAGGCAAGGTCTTACTCTGGGAATGGGCCATGGACTGAGGCTGGCCAGAGTCCATCATAGCTACCCCAGCCTCTACCTTAAACTCAGCATTGAGATTGCCCCTGACCTTACTCCTGGCACCAAGCAAGGCATCAACCTGGGAATTGGCCACAGCTTGGGGCGGGGCTGAGTCTGTTGCAGCCAGCCCAGCCCCTGCCTTAGACACAGCATTGGCATTTCCCCTGACCTTCTTCCTAGCACCAGACAAGGCTTCACCTTGGGAAGTAGACACAGCCTGGGGCTGGGCAGAACCCATTGTATCTGCTCCATCCTCTGCCTTGGACACAGCATTGGGATTTCCCCAGACCCTATTCTTGGCACTAGGCAAGGCCTCACCATGAGAACCGGCCACAACTTGGGAATGAGCAGTGCCTACTGTCTGAGTCTGAGCAGAACATGTTGTATCTGGCCCAGCCCCTGCCCTAGACACAATATTAGGATTGCCCCGGACCTTATTCCCGGCACCAGGCAAGGCTTCACCTTGGGAATCAGACACAGCTTGGGGCTGGGCAAAGCCTGTCGTATCTGCCCTGGCCTCTGCCTTAAACACGGCACTGAGATTCCCCCTGACCTTATTCTTGGCACCAGGCAAAGACTCATCCTGGGAACTGGCCACAGCCTGAGGCTGAGCAGAAACTGTTTTATCTGCTTGAGGCTGGGCATTGCCCCTGACCTTTTTCTTAGTACCAAGGAAAGCCTCACCCTTTAAAATGGCCACAGCCTGGGGCTGGGCAGAGCCCACTGTATCTGCTCCAGCCTCTGCTCTAGACACAGCGTTAGGATTGCCCTGAACCTTCTTCCTGGCACCAGACAAGGTTCCACCTCGGGAATCAGACACAGCCTGGGGCTGGGCAGAGCCCATTGTATCTGGCCCAGTCTCTGCTTTAGACACAGCGTTGAGATTGCCCCGGACCTTATTCTTAGTAACAGACAAGACTTCACCCTGGGAGTTAGCCACAGCCTGGGGCTGGAGAGAGCCCACTGTATCTGGCCCAGCCCCTGCCTTAGACACAGCATTGGGATTACCCTTGACCTTATTCTTGACAGCAGGCAAGGCCTCAGCTTGGGAACTGGCCACAGCCTGGGGCTGAGCAGAACCTGTTTTGTCTGTTTGAGCCTGGGCAGAGCCTGTTATATCTGGCCCAGCCCCTGCCTTAGACACAGCATTAGGATTGCCCCTGACCTTATTCTTAGTACTAGACAAGGCTTCCCCCTGGGACCTGGCCACAGACTGGGGCTGGGCAGAGCCCACTGTATCTGGCCCAGGCCCTGTCTTTGACACTGCATTGGGATTGCCCCGGACCTTCTTCCTGGCACCAGGCAAGGCTCCACCTTGGGAATTAGACACAGTCTGGGGCTGGGCAGATCCCATTGTATCTGCTCCAGTCTCTGCCTTAGACACAGCATTGGGATTGCCCCGGACCTTCTTCCTGGCACCAGACAAGGCTTCACCTTGGGAAGTAGACACACCTTGGGGCTGGGCAGATCCCATTGTATCTGCTACAGTCTCTGCCTTAGACACAGCATTGGGATTGCCCCGGACCTTCTTCCTGGCATCAGACAAGGCTTCACCCTGGGAAGTAGACACACCTTGGGGCTGGGCAGAGCCTATTGTATCTGCTCCAGCTTCTGCTTTGGACACAGCAGTGGGATTGCCCTGGACCTTACTCCTGGCACCAGGCAAGGCTCCACCTTGGGAATTAGATACAGTCTGGGGCTGGGCAGAGCCCATTGTATCTGCTCCGGTCTCTGTGTTAGACACAGCATTGAGACTACCCCGGACCTTATTCTTGACACCAGACAAGGCTTCACCCTGGGAATTGGCCACAGCCTGGGGCTGGGCAGAGCTCATTGTATCTGTTTGAGTCTGGGCAGACCCCACTGTATCTGGCACAATTCCTGCTTTAGACACAGCTTTGGGATTGCCCCTGACCTTATTCTTAGTGCCAGACAAAGCCTCACTCTGGAAATTAGCCACAGCCTGGGGCTGGGCAGAGCCCACTTTATCTGCTCCAGCCCCTGCCTTGGACACAGCATTGAGATTGCCTCGGACCTTCTTCCTGGCACCAGGCAAGGCTTCACTTTGGGAATTAGACACAGTGTGGAGCTGAGCAGAGCCTGTTGTATCTGACCCAGCCCCAGCCTTAAACATAGTACTGGGATCGCCACTGATCTTGTTCTTAGTCCCAGGCAAAGCTTCACCCTGGGAGCTGGCCACAGCCTGGGGCTGAGCAGAGCCCATTGTATCTGTCTGAGTCTGCGTAGAGCCTATTGTATCTGACCCAGTCTCTGCCTTGGACACAGCATTGGGACCCCCCCTGACCTTATTCTTGGCACCAGGCAAGGCCTCACCCTGGGAATCGGCCATAGCTGGGGGCTGACCACAGACCCTCTGTTCTGCCTCAGCCCCTGCCCTAGGAATGGCATTAGAATCACCCCTGCCATCAACCCTGGAATCAAGCAAAGCATCAGCTTGGGTCTTGGCCCCAGCCTGAGGCTGTGCACAGATTTTTGTGTCTGTCCCGACCCCTGCCTTACACTTGCCTTTGGCTTTGCCCCGAGTCTTACCTCTAGTACTAGGTAAAGCCTCAGTCTGGCTCTTGGTGGAAGCCTGAGACTGTGTCTTTGTGTCTGTCCCAGTCCCTTCCTTAGACATGGTGTTGGCATTGCTGTTAGCCTTAATTTTGCCATCAGGCAAGGCATCGGGCTGAACATTGGTCACAGACTGAGGCTGTGCATAGGACTCAATGTCTGTCCCAGCCCCCACTTTAGACATGGCATTGAGATTGCCTCTGCTCTTATCTCTGGCATTAGGCAAGGTCTCAGCCTGGGAATTGGCCCTCACGTTTGCCTTGGCCCCTGTTTTACACATGGCATTGGAATTGCTTCTACCCTTAACCTTGGCGTCACGTATAGCCTCAGCCTGAGGACTGCTTACAGCTTGAAGCTCAGCAGCAGCCCTCATGTCAGCTCCAATCATTGCTCTAGATGTGACACTAGTATTTTCCCTGCCATCCACCTTGACACCAGATATTACCTCAGCCTGTTTCTTGGCCACAGTCTGAGGTTGTGTAGAAGCTCTCATACCTGCCCCAGCCCCTGCCTTACACATGGCATTGGTATTACTCCCAGCATCACCCCTTGCCCCAGACATGGCCTCAGCCTGGGCCTTGGCTACAATCTGAGGTTGGGCAGAAGGCCTCATGTCGGCCCCAGACCCTGCCTGAGACAAAGTTTTGCAATTCCCCTTAGCCTCAACCTCAGCACCAGGCATGTCATCATCCTGAATCTTGGCCACAGTATGAGACGGTGCACAGGACCTCACATCCACTCCAGCTTCTGTCCTGGACATGGTATTAGGATTTCCCTTATTATCAATTGTGGTACCACGCCTGGCTTCAGACTGAGTCTTGGCCACACTCATAGTCTCTTCCAGGGCTTTTGCCTTGGTCTCAGCCACAGTTTCAGTCTTGTTTATGGCACTCATCTTGGCCACTTCCCTGGTCACTGCCAAGGCCTTACCCTGTGTCACCATTACTCTGTTCACCTCTGTCTCTTTTTCAGCCAATATACGAGCTTCTGCTTTGGTCTGAGTCATTGCTTCTTTCTTGGTCTCTGCCCTGGCAACCAATGTCCAAGCTTTAGCTTTGGTCTGGGTCACTGCCTCCTTCTTGACTACTCTCCCAGCCTCAGAGTCAGTTTGGGTTACTGCCTCTTTCATGGCCACTTCCTTGGCTTTGGCCTTGGCCTCAGTCAGAGTCACTAGCTCTGTCATGACCACTGTTCCGACTACTGTTTTGGCCTCAGATTGGGTCTCTGTCTCCACCCCAGCCATTGCCTCGGCCTGAAATCTGGCTTTGGGTCTGGCTTTAGCAGTGGCTTTAGTCCCTACTTCAGGTCCAACCCCACCTCCTTCTCCAGTTTCTGCTCCAGACTTGGACTTGGGTCTAGTCTCAATCTCTGTCTTAGTCATGGCTTCACTCACGGCCAAGGTCTGGTTCTGCACACCAACCACAGTCTCCATCTTGACTCTGGACCCATTTCTGGCAAGTCTCCTCACACTCTGGGCTCTTCCCTTGGTTAATCTGTAAATGTAGTAGCAGGTACCAGCCCAGATCACCAGTCCTGCAGCCACCCAGCCCACTTCCTGAATGCGACCCATGTAATCACCCCTCCTGAAGGCACGAACAAGGTACAGGGGGGCTCAATCAGGCTGGGGAAAGAGGGTAGTAGGTCTGGGTGTAGGCCTGTGAGGGTGTTGGTCTTCAGCAACTCAAAGGCCACTACGGCTGCCACTGGAGGTGGACCTAGAAGTGGAGGAAGGAAATGGACTAAAATTTCTCTTCTAATTCTGTGCATCATACAGATAGATACACAGAAGGACAGGAAAGCGTAGAAATGATGCGCTTGGTGGAAGAAAAGGATGGTTAGCAAACTCTCTCTCCATCCATTTATTTTATCCCTTCCCCATCTTCCCCAGTGCCTCAAAATTTTCCCCCTAGGTACTTCCGTACACATTTCCTTACACCAAAAGAACAGTGGATAGGATAGTGAGAGGGCTGACTATGAATAGGAGAGACTGAGAAGCCCTCAGACCATGATTTTTACTGGACCTACTTTGGTCACCACTCCCACAGGCCCCCACCCTCATACCAACCTGTAATGATGGATGCAGTTCCCTCCTCTTTCCTTCTCTTGATTGGTGACACACCCTAAAGTAGATCTATAAACTCACGAGATCTGCGGACCTAGAGACAGACAGACAGACTGATGAAGGGACAGATGGGAGTGGAGATTTTGTTCTTGATGTGACAGGCATATTATTAGCAAACTACCTCTCTATCCCCCTCAGATCACCCCACTCCCTGTACCAAAATAAAGGTGAGGGTGTAGGGTAAGTGACAGGAATGGCGGGCAAGATGGCTGAGAAAGGGAGAGGCTGAGGATCCTCCAGACTAGACACTGGCCCTACTGGATGCATGCTGGTCTCCACCAACACACCCCAGAGGCCTACTCAGGCAGTCCTCATCTTCTTACCCGTCTCTACAGATCAGGGGCAATTTCTTCCTTATTTGTTTGCTTTCAGTGATCTCAAGCCCTACAGCAGACCTGCAGGTAGATCTATGGACAAGTAAACAAACAGGAGGTTAAGAGACCGAGTCCTTCGTAGAACAGACAGGCACCCTGATCCCCGACCCCAGTAGCTGCCTTGCCAGAGCCCATGTCCAGTTTGCTAATGTGTCCCATCTTGTGGTCCCCCCCCAAGTCTTCTCTCAGTCACACTTCAGCCTACCTTTACCCCAACATTCCTACTGTTTCCTGCCCTGAAATTGGTAGGGAGTATGGTAACACTGTGGAAACCCGGCAGAGTATAGGAGAGGCAGAAGTACCCTTCACTGAGATCCTCTCAAGTCTCTGCCACCTTCTGTGCCCACCCTCTTCTGTCGTCCCCAGGCACTGCCCACCTTCACACCAACCTTCATGGTTCCAGGCCAGTCTCCCCCTTTCCCTTGCTTCCACTGGTAAACAGCCCTACGGTAGGCCCATGGGAAGAACTAGGAACAAACAGAGAAAAAGGAGAAGGTGAGTGTTGAGTGCTTGTGACATCCCAGCATCTAAGACACAGGTCCTAGTGTCTGTCTTACTGGATTTAAAGACCCACTCATAGGCAGGCAGAACCTGGGGCTTCCCCAGCACTGAACCGGGCAGGGTGGGAAAGGGAGGCAGGAAAAATAAAGGGGGGGTGGAGACAGAGGCAAATTGTTTTAAAACAACCTGTAGGATTCTAGAGCTTCTCCCAAAAGTCCATTATTTCCTTCACCAAGATGATCAGACAGGCGGGAGGAATCTGGAAAACTGGAAAACTGCGAGATAGATGGAGGCCCCCAGATCCCATACTCTAGATTCATAGCCTACTGCCATCCACTTCCCCTTAAACCAATTCATAGGCGTCTCCAGCAGATGAGACAAGGTGTGGGGGAAGGCTTTTGCTTCTGCAAAATCACTATCCTTCCCTTGCAAAGGCTATCTCAAAAAAAATAGTAATGTTCTTTGATACAACAATTTGTACTTTCTCAACATTATCTGAAGTGCAAATAACAGCATCTGTAGCAAAGTTCGCTGTCTTTATTGGTCTTCAACACAATTTAAGTGAAAAATCCGAAGCTCGGTAAGTAAACGCAGTTTAGGGAAAGTCCCCTAGCCAGCCCCGCCCCATATCCCGAGCCTCGGCGCCTAAGTTCCTGTCATAGAGAATTCACATAGAACTTCAACAGTTCACAGACAGGGCCCGTGCTCACACTAACCTCCACAGATCCTGTGCAGTTTTCTCCTCTCTTTCTTCCCTCGCCTCGCAACAAACAGTGCCACACCGAACTACTGTCCGTCAGACAGGAGAGAGTAAAGGCACTGACTGCTTGGACCATCACCCAGGACACAGATCCCAATACACGCCCTTCTGGATTCAGGAACCAGGTTATCAAACGTCCCTCCCCGCATTCCAACATGCCACCCCCACCATCCCGCCGTCCAGTCCCCAAGGCCCACCATTTTCTCCGCAAACGCCACTGTGGCATGTCCCTTCCACTGAAATGAGCAGGAAGCTGAGTAGACTTGTGAGGTCAGCGATTAGAGTCAGAGAGAGATACAATCTCTGTATTTCCCTCTTGAGACTCTCCCCTCCAGCATCCGCCCGGTCAAAGCCCTGCACAGACGTAGGCAGGGGGAGGGGAGCTCGGGAGAATCAGGGGCGAAGGCTCCTAGAACTTGAGCCCGCTTAGTCCCCGACCCCCGGACCACTAACAGGGTCGGCCGTCCGCTGCCGCGCTGGCCTCGGCGGGCGCCCGGACGCTTACCTGCTCCGCTTCCCGGGCCTGATGCCAGCCCGCCGTGCGCAGGGCAGCGGGGAGCTGGTACCCAGACGGGAGTGACGACTGCTCCGAAGGCTGCGTCGCTCTGCAGCTCCCGGTCACGTGAGGGCCCCGCGTCACCGCCGAGCTCTCCCTCCTTCCCACACCCCCACCGGCCGGCCGGCGGGCCGGCGGGGAGTTCAACAGGAGCCCCCTCGCCACCTCCGCACATACGACTTCCTCCACCACCCGTCTGTGCACGAGGCCCCAGCGCGCAGCGCCCTGTCACTCAGCTCGGTCCTCTCCAATCTGAGGGCCCCCAAGTGGCCTCACCGCCCTGTGGTTGGGGTCTGCCCTTCTCTGGTTACCAGGGAGGGTCTGCATCTCACTCACCCCCAGGTCTTAGCTCCAAGCTTTCTGCTGCTATTTTGAGGAATTCTCTCTTTCTTAGGCTATAAGACCAAAGCTCACCATCGGGTACCTTGCTGCGTCAAAATGAGCTGGGGAAGGGATGTCAGGAAAGAAAGTAGAGAGTGCATGTAGAGGCTTAACTTTCTTATGTTCCTTTTTCTTTTCTTTTAGCATCGCATTCAATGTTTTTGTAGTTGGGAAATGCAGCCAAGCCATTTTCATTCAACACTGAAAAATTATGTGGTAAAGATAACAAAAGACTCATTTGTTTACAGTGTTTTTTGCCACATTAAAAAATGTTTTCTAGTTGCTATAAACTATTTCACAGCTTTCAAAACAGACTAGTAATTGTTGACATTTTAAACACAAAATTTTGCTATACGAGACCGCACGTTTTCAATGTGATCTGTAAGTTAATCTTTGGAAAGACATTCAGTTTTCTAATCTTGGCAGTTTTCCACAAGTGATTTACAACCTTTTGAAGTTCTGGCTGAACTTATGACCTCATGTCAGATGTCTGAGAACTTCGTAGATGATGCATCTTCCAGCGGAGACAGTGGTGCGGGTCTGTGGGTGACTGTGAATCCTTGCAGCACCCCTGAGATCCATGTCATTTTTCCCTCACAAAAAGCACAGTTTACAGGATCCCAAGCAGTCACCAGGAGAAAGAAGCCTTTTCATTCCCTGCCTTGTCACAATTTCACTGCACCCCGAGCCCCTCAGAATAATCCCAGAACTCAGGAACAAAGTATGCAGAAATTAGTCCCCAGACATCCAGCTGTTCCGGCTGGGGAGTTACTCTAAATATAGACCCTTCAGGCAGCCTCTTTGTTAGAACGTTGAAATATGACACCCAGCAGGAAGCTCCCTGGGTGAGGGGCCCCTGCGTGCAGGAGGCCCTTTCAGGAGGAGCCAGAGAGCCCAGAGAGCCATAGAACCTCACTAATGGCTTTTCAGAACTCAATTGCCCGTGACCAGCTTCTGTTCTCCACTAAATAGAAAGATTCAGATATTGGTTACATAAACATTTAAAACTTTAAGGTAAACAAACAAAAAAACCATAAGCATGAGATGTCAGAAGGCTAATTTGTAAAAACTCTTACAATCATTAATAAAATGATAACAACCCGATAGAAAAAGGTGCCAAAGACATGAATGGATTTGTTCACAGGAAAGAAATACAAATGACCAATAAACATACAAAAAGATGCTCAACTTCAAAGAAATGCAAATCAAAACAACTATGTCTTACCGTTTCACCTAGGAGTTTATCAAAATTTAGAAATTTGATAACATTGTTGACTGGTTTGTGGAGAAACGGGCACTCCCACACTGTTGGAAGCAGATACTCTGATGCAACCTTTTTATGGAGGGCAATTTGGCAAATTCTATTAAACAATAATTATAATATCTCACGAATTCTTTGACCCAGCAATTCTATTCCTAGGAATTTGGCAAGGCTATATACCAACACAGTTTCACATAAAACAACTTTTTAAAATCTTTATATACTTACATATCTATTGTACTACCTGTAAAGTTTTTAAAAACTGACACACGGTGCCGGCCCGTGGCCAAGTGGTTAAGTTCCAGCGCTCCTCTTCGGGGCCAGGGTTTCGGTGGTTCGGATCCTGGGCGTGGACATGGCACTGCTCGTCAGGCCGTGCTCAGGGAGCATCCCACATGCCACAACCAGAGGGACCTTCAACTAGAATATACAACCGTGTACTGGGGGGCTTTGGAGAGTAGAAGAAGGAAAAGAAACAAAAGAAGAAGATTGGCAACAGTTGTTAGCTTAGGTGCCAATCTTTAAAAAAAAAAACTGAAACATGAAATGTCCATCGACAGGGGAAAGATTAAATACATTATGTTAAATTTATACAATAAGGCTGATTAAAAAAAGATTTAGCTCTATGTATCCTGATGGAAAGATACTTAGGGCATTTTATTATTTGCTGTTTATTTTCTGTAATTACACACAAATTTCATGAGAATACATTCTAGGATAGGATTCAAACTCAGAAGCACTAGTGCTGGTTTGACTCCACTATCCTCATCCAAAGTACAATTATCCTCCTTTGTTATAAATTTGTTGTTAAATGCTTTTCTGTACATTATATACACATACACGACTTATGAAAATATATAAACGGGATCATATTTAACATACTGTTTTGCAACTTTTTTTTCACTTAAACTTATATCTCAGAGAACTCTTCATGCCAGTACATTTAAAGCTGCTTTGTTCTTTTTCTACATACTATTCCATAGCTTGGTTATACTATTGTTTATTTAATCCCATTCCACCACCACCCCTTGCCGATTGATGAACTAAAGTTGTTCTGGATCTGGGGCTAAGAAAAACAAGGCTACAATGAAGAACCCGGTGCATACAGCTTTGCCCACAAGGGGAAAAATTTCCTTAGGATATTCTACTATAAATAGAATTGTTCAGCTAAGGGTATGAAATTTTATACATTTGATACCGCCCAAAGAAGGGTATGAGCTTTTGTATAGTTAATGGATAGACCACCAAATTGCCCTCCAAGAGGCTGGGCAATTTCCACTCCTGTCAAGCACGTGACAGGACCCCCTTCTCCATGTTCTCATGCACACTGTAAATTAGCAATTAGTGCCAATCTAAGAGATAAAAAAAGGTATGAGATCATCCTTTTAACTCACATTTTCCTAAATATCTATAAGTTTGAGCATCATGTCATATGCCTATTAGTCATTTGCATTTTTTCTCTAAGAATTAGTTAATATCCTTTCAATATTTTTCTATTCAGCAGTATTTTTCTCACTGATCTGTAGTTCCTTATGCATATCTACATAATATTTTTCTGCTATATAGGTTACACATATAGTCTCCCAATCTGTCACTGACATCTTAATTTTATGATATTTTTTATACTCAGAATTTTTACATTTTGATGTAGTCAAATATATTAACTTCTTCCTGTATGGCTTCTGGATTCTGTATATATATATACAGACATACATATACATATATATATATCTCATGTACATGTGTATATATGTATGTACAATACATATGTATCTGCGTATATATGTATTCAAATGTATGGCCAAATTCCAGTACTATTCATATAACAGTCCAGCACTCCTCAACTAATTCAAAAAGCTGACTTATCAAGTGTTAAATTCTCACTTATGCTCAGATATGTTTCATGGATTGACTTTTCTGTTCCACTGACGTATGTATATATGACTGTCTCAATAGCATGCTTTTAATTGGTACAGCTTTGTAGCAAGTTTTGGTATCCTTCATTGCTCCACTTTATCAAACTATTTTTGGATATGCTTGGGCATTTCAAGTAAAGTTCCAAGTTTTATTTTTAAAAAATCCTCTTGGACTTTTATTAGGATTGCATTGAATTTATAGATTAACTTGGGGAATAATTAAAATCATCATAATAAATTATTATTTTCATACAAGGTCATGTAGTATTTTTAAAATTTATTCACATCTTCTTTTGTGCCCTTCAATAAAATCGTACAGTTTTCTCCATGTAGATTTCACATGTTTCTTATTCCCAAATATTTCATAGTTTTTGTTAATATTGAGAATGGTGGCTTTTTGCACATAATATTCTTTCTCCATTTTTTATGAAAATAATTTCAGTTTTTATACAAATCATGCATGCTCATTACAAGAAGCAATGCAATGCAGTAAAGTACAATGAAGAAAGATAAAATATCACTCAGATTCCAGCACTGTGAAATAACCATCAAACTTTCAAAGAACAATCAAACTTCGTGGAACATTATATGTTCTTTAGATCTGAACACTTCATTCTTTCTTAAGAATATATATATTCATAATATGTGTGTGCAAATATAGATATAATATCTCCCTATTTCCTTTAATTTCTTCTGTTTTTTTCATCTCCAGTCAATGTGATTATCTCAAGCCCCTTCTCTGTCCATAATCCAACTTTTAGCAATGTTTTTCTACTTCAGCTGTTTATAATTTATTACTTCTATGGTAATGTTATTTGGGCCTAATTGGTTTCTTAGTTTGCAGTCTTCCTTTTTATCTAATTCTGCTGTTTATCATCTCATCTTTGAGCTCTTTTTTTATTAAATCTATACTCTTATTAAGTTCTTCTATAGCTTAAAGTACTTGGAAATTTCCTTCTGTGCTTTGAGGTATGTTTTCTTCTTGTTTAGGTTCTTTGTCTTTCTCATAATCTATCTTATGTGGCTTCTGAGGGGCTGGGCAAGGTTAAGAACCTGGCCACCCTGTACCACTATGCTCAGTGCTGGAATCTCCTTTTCTTTACTTGCCTGTGACTTTTTGAAGTTTGTGTAATTGAAATGTGCCCTATTCTTTCTTCGATTGCTGATGATGACCCCCACTCCACACCCACTGATTTTTTGCTCCGTTTTTCTTTTTTTGCATTTTGTTAAGTATTAGGAAAGATTCTGTGAGGCGGTGTCTTTTCCTCTATTCCAGCACAGAAGCTTCTTCTAATCCATTTTCTAGCTGTTCATTTTTGGTGCAAGATAACAGGCCACCATAGTAATCTTTATTAATAGTTTTAAAAGTTTGTCAGTTCAT